CTTTCGGATGAATTCTCCTCCCCAGCTAATTCAGAGAGAATAACTTTCCTGTTCTGAGCCTTTTCCAGGGCTAGAGCATATTATTTCTTTGTTCTCCTAGGGATTGGGCTACAGTCTCACTGGATGACCTTAGTTCTTGTCTCTGCCTCCCCAGTCTACTACTATACCTTGGCAAAGACATCTCTGACCTCATTTCTTTACTGAGGATGCCCCACCTGACTGAGGGGTTATCTCTAAGGATTTGGGGTGGGGGAAGGTAGAGTAAATAGCCTGTCATCATAATTAACCCCTCCTCAAAGCCACTAATTAGAGCCCATTCACAGAGATATAGAAGTTGTTAAGGACTTTAAATATGCTGTTTATTCTCTTCACAGTTTGATGCTTTCATTGTAAGTTCTAGAATCATAGATTTAGAGATGAAAGCAACCTAGGAGACCATCTAGTCCAAGGGTAGAGAACCTGTGGCCTCAAAGCCACACACGGCTCTCTAGGTCCTCAGCTGTGGCCCTTTGACAGAATCAAACTTCAGATTCAGTCAAAGGGCTCAGCTTGAGGACCTACAGAGCCACGTGCAGCCTCAAGGCTAGGGGTTCCCCACCCCTGTTCTAGTCCAACTCCCTCATCTTACAGGTAAGGAAACTATGACCCATGATGTTAAGTGACTCAACCAAGTTCATACAAGTAGTAAGCCTTGGAGATAAAATATCTTTTTTAATAGTTAGAGGAACCATTTCTCCGAACACTCTACAGCAGATCACGCTGGAGATGCAAAGGAGGTCAGGAGGCTTCCACAGAGAGAACTTCTGAGAGCCAAAAACCTTGAAGGGTCACAAGGGAATCTGATGGATAGGGTAAGATGCAATGGCTCTCCTGAAGGCTATGGCTAGAGCGGGGAAGGGCCCATTTTGCAAAGTACCACTTGACTGCCCTGAATTTAAACTCACACAATTACTAGCAAAACCTAGTTTTATGCCCTAAATCAATAGAACTCAGGTTCAAGTTCTGACTTTGATACCTCCTGTGTATCTTTGGGCAAGTCACTCCCTGGACCTCAGCAACTTCCAGTGAAAAATGAAGGAGTTGAGCTAGACAACCTCTAAGCTCTACTCTATCTCTAGATCCTATGACCACATGCTCTATTAAACAATATCTTAGAAATAAAGCAAGTTTAAGGCATAATTTACACTTTGAATTCATCAAATATCATCATTTAAATTCATTTAATCTTGTTACCTTCTCTCAAAATGGTTGAAGGCAGAAACTGCCTTCATTTGGTCACCATTTGGTCTGGATGGAGCAGAATATATCAGGCCATCAACACTTACGGCCTGGAGATGATTTGGGGAGAGGTACAGGGTGCCTCTATGTCTGCCAGTGTCTTACATTTGCTAAGTGTACAGCCTGAGTTCATGCTTGAATTTTCCCATTAACTCATCCTCCAGGGAATCTTTAAACCTCCCTTCTTCAGTGTCAGAGCTGAGCAGTTCTCTGGGGTATAATCTGTTTGTTTATCGACATGGGTGTTTACATCATTCTTCGCTAAAACTCAGTGTTCCAGGGAGCTGGAAGCCCAACAATGAAAGACCGAGGTCACAGAGCCTCAGAGGTAGCCCAAAGTGAGGAGCCCATATTCCAGGAACTCAGTCTGAAAAGCAGATAAAATTAAATGGAGAATCGACAGCTTTGGAGATATCAATGCCCATAATCTTCTAACATGAACTGTTTGTAATAAATCATTTAGGGATTAGAGCAATTATTCATTCTAGCTAAAAGAATACCCAAGATTTGATATAATCTAACACAAACCTGGAGGCAGCTTGGTGGCACAGTGGTTAGAATGCTAGGACTGAAGTCAGGAAGACTCTTCTTGCCAAGTTCAAATCTAGCCTCAGACACTCACTAGCTGTGTGACCCAGACAAGTCACTCAGCCTAGTCTGTCTCAGTTTCCTCATCTACAAAATGAGCTGGGGAAGGAAATGGCAAACCACTCCAGGATCTTTGCCAAGAACACCCCAAAATGGGGTCATGAAGAGTCACGCATGACTGAAACAACTCAACAACAAAATTACTTATTAGAACCTTTCTCTATCAATATTCTGGGGTCCATTTGCTGGGAAGAGCTTATAAGGTCCTTCAGGTACATAAGAAACTTGAATCCATTTCAACATGTTCCAAATGAAACATGACTCAAACTGAATTCTATTCTCTGATACATGAACTCTAAGCACAGGTCCCATGTTTCTATTTATTTTTCCCTATAATATATTTTATTAGTATTCATAAAGTTAACCATTGAATTACAAAATTAATTTTAATTATGTACCTAACAAAGAGAGGGAGACAGCAGAGAATATGATCTTTTTTTTTAATCTAAAGCTTTGGTTTGCAATATTTGCATTTTATTTCATTTCAAGTATCTTTATGCTTTTGAATATGATATTATTTGCATTAATTTGTAGGTTCTAACTTGCAGGCTTCCAACCACTTAAAATTTCAGGAACTAGGAAGATTTAATCTAGTGTAAATCACAATAAGTTGATATACACACACACACACACACACACACACACACACACACACAAACTGTGGGAGAAAGCCTGAATTTACACCCACAAGCTTGTTGGAGTGACTGTTTGCAATTTGGAGTTTTGTGTATCAGAACTGGAGTCCATATCTCTGCTTCTTCATTCATGACCCAGAGGTCTGTCAGTCTTTCTAGCAGTTAATCATGGTTCCTTCCACAATTCCATGAGTAACCACGTTGATCCTTAATCAATGGATTCAGTGACCTTCACTGAAAACTCCCTCTACCAGAAATAATAAGACCTCATATTTTTACAGGATGAATTCTAAATCTTTTATTTTCTTCTAATTATATCTCAATTCAAGAAAAGAAAAAAATAAGAAACATGAAAAAGTCATAATAGATGGAATCTCAGGAACAGATATTCAGCGACAGGAAAGGTTCCAAGAAGACTATATAATTGGGAATTTTTAAAAAAAACCTAGAGGATGGATTCAAAGAGAAAGAAGTAGTCCAAGGTATTCCTTTGTATGGGGATACTGTGTGCCTGTTCTAGAGACAGGATAGCTTTCCTGGGGGTGGGGGTAAGGTACGGGTGAAGAGGAAGGGGGAAAGGGGATCTAGAAGGAATTGAGGTGGGTAAGAAGAGAAATACCAAGGTGTGAGCTGCTCTGGTTTAGGAAACAGGAACTGTTCAATTCAGAAATTAGGAGCAGGTTAGGGGGTAGGGGTGGGTGGGGCTCCAAGAAAGAAGGGGGTGGTTCTGGGGTAAGAAAAGTGTTCTTCATATGACTTGAAGGATAAAATGGCATGCAAAGAAAGAAAATTGCCTCGGAGAGGGAAATAAATCCCCAAGATCAGACTGCATTCCTGTTCTTGAGGCAAAGCCTTCCCCAGGCACTTACTGTATGACCCTGGGCAACTTCTCTTAGCCTCAGTTTCTTCTTTTGTAAAATAGGAATTATTTTGATCCTTACCTCACATGGTTGTTATAAGGATCCAAACAAAAAATAGATGTAAAGTGCTTTGTAAACCTTAAAGCACTATATAGACGCTAGTTATTATTATTAAATATGCCAATCACTGTGACCTTGGACAAGTCACTTATCCTTGAAGGGTCTTAGTTTCTTCATCCATAAAATGAAGGACTAGGTAATAATTACTGACTTTTTATTCAGTAATTTAAATGCATTGCCTCATTTGATCCTCTCTACAACACTGTAACATGGGTACCACAGGTATTATTTCCTTATTTTATAGCTGAGGCAGCCAAGGCCCACAGAAGTCAAGTGATTTGTCCAGTCACATAGCTAGTAAGCATTCAATGTGGGATTTGAAACCAGGGCTCTTTGGGCTCCAAATTCAACTCTTTTCTCTACTAACCCTGCTGCCTCTCTAGCTGACTGCTAGGGTTCCTTACAGCTCTCATATTTTTGACCCAAGGCCTCTAAGACAAGATTTCTACAATGGGATACTCATGCCCAGTCAGTTACTGGCCCATTTCCCACATCCCTTTCCTCTCACTACACAATACGCCCTTCGCTCAGTCTCAACCTTGCCCAACCTGCCTGAAAAAGTAGGAACTTGGCAAACGGTTCATTGCCTCACAATAATAAGAGCTTTTGAAACGGGTACCTGCTTCATGCTTCAGATTGTGACTCCAAAAATTGTTCACATCAGAGGCAAATCTTCATAATTTCCTCCTGAAGTAACAAGTACAGTTCTCCCTGTTTCAAAAGGGTAGGGAGCTGACACAAAGGGAAATGAAAGGAATTGCCCTAAGACATAAATCAAGTCACTTACAGAACCAGTCTGATAGAGAGAATGCCTTTATTTGTCACCCCATCAGCTATGCTACATTTCTTTATGATCTCATGATGCCATACTCATTGGGAAGAGGACTACAAATAAGGCTGCCTCAGAGTAAAACCAAAAGGTTTTCGCCTCTCCAACCAAATGGTTTTGATTCATATCAGTTTGTCCTTCCCCCAAAATAATATTTTCTTTCAAAGTGGAGGAATACAGAGGCCATCTAATCCAACCCCCTCATTTCACAGCCGAGGAAATTGCTACAGAGAGAGCAAGTGACTTACCTGAGGTAGCACAGGTGGTAAGTATGTTAGAGAACCTGGATCCAAACTTTGGTCCTCTGACTCTAAATCTAGACCCTTTCCACTAGTTACTCAAGAAGTAAGGGCTCATTTTTACATGACTTCAAAATTACATGAAATGAACAGCATTCGGACATATGAACATAATCACCAAAGTCTGCCCTAAGAGCAATTCCCCCACTATTTAAAAAGCTCATACTGCTATGGTATAAAAATGCAACCTTCCACTGCCTTCATGGGTCCCCCATTCATAGCTGCTGTTAGCAGCATAGCAACAGCTATAGTATCAAAACAACTGGGTTTTACTGGATTTTCTTTCCTGATATCTTTTTTTTCTTTTCTTTTTCTTGTTTCTTTTATTTACCTTTTTGCTTTTTCCAGGTGAAGTTTACAGCTTGGCCAGTGAGGCTGGGGTTGCATTCATCGTGAGGAAATATAAATCCTTTGGCTTCTTGCCCCTCCTCCTTAGAGGCTTTCCGTTTGTGTCTTGGTGATTCAGCCTCCTAAGTCACCTGGAGGAGAGGTACAGCACTTATAAGGAAATCCCTTTGAGAGCCAACTTTGGCTTGCTTTCCATCCTGTAAAAACTCTCGCAGGACACAGATTGCTTTCCAGAGATGCACCTAATTCTCATTTCCCTTTTCAGTGACAAATGTGGGAAGATTTCTCAGATTCGATTCTGCCCCTGAAGACTTTAAAGAAAGATCTCCTTTAAGAAAAAAAAAAGAGAGAGAGAGAGATAGCTCTACTTAGGAAAAAAGTGGTTCCCCCTTCCAAATGCTGGTGTGTTTCACTGGGTTCTTCTGGGTGGCTCCTGATCAGAGGGGAAAGAAGGGCATCTAGCAGGGCACATCCCACCCTCAGGTTTTCTTGTTCATCCGAAGCTGAGGCATTTGTTTTATGTGGTGCTTGGGTAATTCCTGAGCACATCTCCTTAAAAGAACAGGAGAGTGAGTTCAAGGAAGGAGCTTAATTTGCGGTTACAGTTTAAAAGCTTGGTGGGGAAAAGCTGCAGACGCCCTAACCCCTGGCAAACCTTGCACTGAGAGCTGATTCAGGTGGGTGGAGGGAGGGATGTGGCTGCATTGGGGTAAAGAGGAAAGAGAGCAAGGAAAAGCCTTAACTTACAGAATCTAGAAGCAGAGAATGAAGCAACACTCCGCTCACTGGGGCCCAACAGCCCCAACAGCCTTCAACAAGAACCAGAGTATTACTGGTAGACTATATTTTTGATACTTAGATTTCAAAGATAGGTCTTTAGGGCTGGCAAGCCATTGGATGGATAATCTCACTAACAAGTAGGCTTTCCCCATCTCCTAGATTACATAATCAGGAAGAAACATTTTAAGGGCCTCCTATGTGCCAGGCACTGGCAAAGACTAGCTTAAAATGACAATTGCCACTATCTGGTTGTTGCCCTGAAACAGGCGTTCACACCCACCCACAGAATGAAAAAGATCCAGATACCTGTCAAGTCTTTCTTTGACCAGACCAGGGGATGTTTCTAATGCTGAATCAACCACACCTGCAGCCTTCACTCACCTATAAACCTGATATCCATTCATTAAAACAGCTCAGTTGCCTCTTTGGTGACTCCCAGTTTCATCTGCCATAAGCCCAAAGGAAGAAAGGATTGGACCTAGAGAGCTTGGTTCAGCCCTTGGTTTAGTGATTGTCTGGTCTGGGGATAAAGCTGACAGAAGAAAGCCTTGTATAAACTTCAGGCACCACCCTTTTACATCTCCAAATACAGCCCAGGTGAAGAGAATGAAAGTCATAAGATTTAAAACTAGAAGGATTCTCAGAGGACATCTAATCCAACCCCCTCATTTTACAGATGAAGAAACTGAACAGTGATTTGTCAAAGATCATCCAGGCAGTAAAGAGCGGAACTGTTCCAAACCCAGGTTTTCTAACTACAAAACCACTGTTTCCCCTTCCCACATGCCTCCTCCCTTCTTACACAGACAAATTGCACCTTACTGGCAGTCTTCCGATACTACTTGAAAAGACTTTGCCCAACCCTACCCCAACTACCAACCCCCTAAAAATTGAAAAATTCCCAAAGGAAGACAATGACTTTCATTCCAAAGTGCAAGAGAGGGCTTATAATTTGAATGATCCCTAGGGAAAAAATGAGACAAAAGAAATCATAAGTGTAAACAGCTGATACAAAATCTTCTGATAGAACTTTTGATTGAGGGAGTCAAAGGGAAAGAATTTTAGAAGCTGTGGTAGTAGAGAAGAAAGACACCAGTGAAAGGAATGTTTCTCTACCTATCCTTATCACTTATTACAGTGTTCTGCATACCATAGGAATGCAATAAGAGATTCTTTAAGATGTAGTCAATTCTAGAGCTGGTCTTCTAACAACAAACAGGCTGGTTTCTACACACAAGGTATCACTAGTGCAAGCGCGCGCACACACACACACACACACACACACACTAAAGATATAAAGATACAACGTAATGATTTGAAGAACATTGGTACTTAGGTGGCACAGTGGATAGAGTACTGGGCCTAGAGTCAGGAAGACTTGAGTTCAGATCCAACCTCAGACCCTCACTAGCTGGGCAAATCACTTTACTTCAGTTTCCAAAACTATAAAATGGGGCTAATAACAGCATCTACCTTGCAAGGTGGGGAGGTTCAAATGAGATGATAATTGTAAAAAACACTTAGCCCTGTGCCTAGCACATAGTAAACACTACATAAATACTTATTCCCTTTCCCCTTCCCTCCTTTTCATGGTTGCCTCTGATGCTCCCTAACAAGGCCTTCTATAAAATATGGCGTCCACCACTAGAATGTAAATGCTGGGGGTGGTAAACGGAAGCAGAATGCAGTGGGAATCACCTCCCTAGTCCTAAACACTTTCATGGATACCAGATCATACTACTGACTCATAGTGAACTTGTGGTCTTTTTTTTTTTTTGGTGAGGCAATTGGGGTTAAGTGACTTGCCCAGAGTCACATAGCTAGTGAGTGTTATGTGGCTGAGGCTGGATTTGAACTCAGGTCCTCCTGACTCCAGGGCCAGTGCTCTATCTACTGTGCCACCTAGCTGCCCCCAACTTGTGTTCTTCTAAGAGCACATTCTTGCAGGCCACAGCTGTTGCACACAAACCCTAGAAAAACAAGATAATATATTTTTGTAAAACTGTTAAATACTGTGGAAACTGGAGCTACTACCATTATCAATGACCATGGAATGGGGTCTGGCCCATGCCCAGAGCACCTTCGACGCTATTCACTCATATGGAGGAGACTATTTCCTGGGGAGTCGAGATGAAGTGAATGGAAGTGCCTCGGAGACAGTGGTCTTTGAAACATATATAGATATTCTGTAACTGGTTCTGGTCAGCTAACCATATGGTTTGGAGAACACTCATTTGATTAGATGCTTGGCCAAAACTAGGGTGCCTTCAAAAGGCCTTAGATGAAATTGATCAGTCTTTATTCAGCTCCTCAATCTTGGTTTGACTCCACTGTTGGTGCACATTGAGACACAATGATGTGTGGGGAGAAGACTTGAGCCTTCTCCCCCGAGGCTGACATATGACCCTATGAAAACAGGCCTTGGCCCTGTTGTCTCATTGTTTTAGGTAGAGGTGTTGGAGGCTCCAGCCTTGTGACTTTTAAAAAGGTGAGGAGAATGACCCTCCAGAGGGCTCCCAGCCTCCCAGAGTCCTGGAGGAGTTTTGGAGGTGAGTTCAGCATTGATGCCTCAGGTGCTAGAGGTGACCTTTGTGAGTAACCTTTAAAACCCATTCCAGCTTAGATGTGGAATCAGCTACCAATCATACTAATACAAATTCACCTAGATGTGAATTTGGTAGGACTAATGTCATACAGAAATTGTGCTAAGAGTGTGACCTCTCTCCTCAGAGACCACCTTGGTATAGGGGAGAGCATGACGTTGAAGTGTGGGGGGTAAATATATATTTGTTCTCGTTATATTCTTGAAGTAAATATTCTTTTTAAAAAATTAATTCATGTTAAATGGTTAAATAGACCTGGGGCACTAATCAGTTACTGACTTGAGCGATAGTAGTAGAGATACCCACTAACTCCTGACTCTGGAAAAATAAGACAGAACATAGTCATTACATGCAGATGAATTTATGTCAGAATAAGTGACCATTTTGCTTGAATTTTTAATATATTTGAAAATTATTAAATAGCTTGAATTGATGAGGTCTAGAAGTTTAGGGACCCCCAGATCATGACATGCATGCTCTGTCTGAAAGAATTCAACCCAAATCTTCTTTCAGCAAGAGGAAAAGTTTATTAGAGATAAACCATACAGGCCAGACTCTTAAGGAATCTGAACATTACTGGCGCCCATAAGGACAAGCGGGCATGAGAAAATTTCAGCATTTAAATGGGGGCCAGGATGATACATTCAAGTAATTTTGGGTGACCAGAGGAGGGGCTGGGAAGAGGGTCTGGGTAACTTAGGGAAAATTCCAATTGGAATGTCTGAGAGATTAAATAAACAATGGGGATCGATAGATTGAATAGATAATGAAGGAGACTGGTAGGTAGAGGATCAAAGGTGGGACTAGGGCTTTCAAAGGGAGATAAGGAGAGTTCATAAGGAAAGGCCATTGAGTGGAGTATAGCCTCATGTAGCCATTTGAGACTGGAGTGAGGTTAAAAAAAAGTTCAAAGGTTTTCTGGGGCCCATAGACAAATGAGAGCCAAATTCTTTTTGGTGTGAGGGGCAAAGGTCTCTCCTTGGGCCCATACCCTATCAGAATGGGAATGAAAGTTAAAAACACCTTCTCTTAGCTCACTCCCCCATCTCACACTGAAACTAGCACACTGGAGGACTAGAGGTCTCCAGAAGGGTGGTTATTACTATTTTCATAATTCTAGGGGTAACCTTTTAGGTGATTATCCTCCTAATCAACCTCAAAAGTCCCCATTGATATGCTTCTCCTTAATAGTCAGCCAGTAGACTCACTTAGTCCTTCAGCAATGGCATTTACTCAAATAGCATAGCAAGAATACTAGTTACAAAGCATTTCCCCAAAAAAACCAAAACAAACAAACAAAAAAAGCAAGCACGTTCCTTCTTGGGCACACAGAGTCAGTGAGAGGGCAAAACGTGAGCATGGACTTAAAATATAAGTACAGTGAAGTACTCACATAGCAAATGCTCATAGCCAAAGTGACTCACATCCCTAGAAATTCAGGACCTCAATGATATTTCTTTCTACAGCAGATCCCCTCAAAATTCACTAAGGGTACAACTGTATCTCTGCAGGATGAATAGCCCAAATAAGTTCAATCCTGATAGGAAGCAGTGTCTTAACCAGATGGGTCAATTCACTGCTGAGATGGATGAGACCAGTCACTAGGTAACTGGACTGCTACAAAACTAGATCTCTCCATTGCTGAGCAGCTGATGCCAGACTGAGAGGGGCATCACTCTGCCCCTGGACATACATCATTTTAGGCCTTGCCATTGAACTCTTCTAAGGGCACTGCGTCTCTACTGCAC